TACGAACTTGTACATACAATCTCTAGCATGACATGGTTACTCTCATTTGAGGTCCAAGTTAACCATTTTACTAATTATTACCAATTGTACATCCATTATAAACGTCACTGAGATATAGATCCGAGAAGAAGAATCCTAGAAGATTCAGTCGATGACAAGGAGAGTGAGAGTTGTCAATTCACTAAATTATTCTACTAATGCAATTCATGAACTAGGTGAAGAAACATTTCAAGAGGCACATGATACTTAGGAATTTGTGCATGACTTGAGTGATGAGACTGTACTTAGCATAAATCAATCTGAGTTTAACTTTTCTTTTTGACATTCTCAGGGTTAACCTGATCTTCAATTCTAATATGTTTCATGAGCATCCTAGGATCATAAATTCACATTCTCATAAACAAAACAAAAAATCTTACAACCGAGATTGAACTGGAACATGTCAAAAAAAAAATCGTAAAATCTCGAGCAGCGAGATTCAACAAAAAAATATAAAATATACAAAATGTTTCTTTACTATTTTAGTATCATGCATTTACTGTTGCATAGTAAGTAAAATAGTATGTTACAGAAAAGAATTTGCTCGCTTTTGAATTTGAATAATTCATCGTTAATATAATATACTACTTGTGAATTTAGTGACCAAATATATCACCCCGAGTTTATTTATTTTCCGTTGTACCTTGTGTGGATATGTTCAGCTTTAAAGAAAGAAGAAGGATCAAAAGGTTGTGAAAATGACACACTTCCATTAGAAGAGTAAAGGACTTATATAAGCCTCTCTCGGTTACGCCGAAGGCAAAGCGTTTTATTGTTTAGTCACCGATCGTTTATGATTCCCTTATTACATATTTTACCGAAGACTGAAATGGATAAAGATCAAAAAAGAAGATTGAAAAGGATGATATGTTTTTCTGGATAAACCCTAACAACATTTCCAGTTTGAAACATATACAAATATCAATCTTTAAACTCTTTGTAATTAAATTATCAGTTCTGATGAGTTCTATCTTTTGTTCTTTTGTTAATTTTGCAAAGAAACTAATCAGTGAACAATGAGAGTACAAGTTATGGTTACGTGCTCCATATTATTCAACTACATTTTTCTGAAGAATAAAAGGCAATTAAACCGAAAAAGAAAAAAAACAATGAAACCGCAACAAACCAGAAAAGGTGGTAATCATCAAAAGAAGAAGAGAAAAGAAAGAAAAAAATTACAAAATATAGTTAAAATAAAATTCCTAACCAGAAATCTATTGTTTTGCCTTTGATAATATTTGTAATTAGCTCACAAACGCAAACGCAAATCATCTGTTTAAGTGAACCAAGGTCTCGAACTAGAACCAACGCAGGACCCTTTTGTACATATTTTTTGTCAACTGAATCGTATTTCTCTTAAAAACAACTCCAACTTATCAAATATTTTCTCTAAGAAAATAACTAATTGCTTATTGTTTTAAAAATTGAAGTTAGTAATAATTAGAGTACTATTTATTTTGTCAGATTCGATAGATGATAAATTTTGAAATCTTTCATGGAAATGTTTTTTATCTTTGTCAGAACGAAATTGATTTTACCTTAAAATAAATAAAATGATTTTAAAAAAAGAATTTTTGTGTGAAGTAGGCGGGGGACCATTTGGAGATAGGTGAACAGTTGGCTACTTAAACACCTTCTCACCCCTCACCAGTCAGTCACCAGCAAGTAGACCCCACGCGCAATATGGTCCCTACGTTTACATATTTACTTTTTCTTTTCAAATAATTAATATTTTATCAATTAAACAATTGATTTCTTTGTTGGGGTTAAATCCGGCCGTCCACTTTCGTTAAGCCGGCGGCTGTCAGCCTAAGTCTGAAAAAAATCTAGGACTGGTCCCCACGTTTATTTATTTAATTTGCCTTTTAAATAATTATTTTGTCGTATCTATGGTTTTCTTCGGAAGTAATTATATTTTTATTATCTTTTCTTTATTCGGGTTGCATCAATCCAGATGTACGGTTAGGATTCTCTTATCCCGAAGCGCATGCTAATGCTTTGGGGGGGACCATATGTGGTCCAGGCAACGTCCTTTCGACGCGTGTCCTTTGTTTTTTTGGCCCGCGAGTAATGACGTGATTGATGGTCCCCTCTTTCCCCATTTTTTTTCTTTACCACCGGTTATTTCCGGTTTATGGCTTTTTGCCAACCGGTTATCTCGCCGTTACATAGAGGGAAAGTAATCGCAATCAGAGAACAAGCAATTCAGTAGTGACTTCGTTACGCTCCTTGGGGTGATGTGTGGAGCACGCTCCAACCTTTACGGGGTTGGGTACGTATCGACCACTTTAAATTTTGTGATTGCTTATTATATTACTATTGTTTACAGATTTGAATTGTTAGTTTTTCCGGTCATTATCCTTTTGACATTTAAATATAAAGATCTCAATAGACCTAGGTATGAGTCACTTGTAGAATATTCAGTGGATAATGAAGAATTTTGCAATATTTAAACCCTTACGGATTTAAATAAAAAGATGACAAATCAAAGCCTGGAGCAACCAAGTCGGACGATAAGATCTCTTTCGTATAGAACCAAAAGGGCAGAAGAGGGATACAAATGAGCAGCAGACACATCAAAGAGAGACGTAAGTCATTCGACACCGACGTAAGAAAAAACGTTAGTCGTGGTCAAGAAAATACTTTTCGTCGGCACTAAAGTTTCTTGATCTTGAGATTATATGATGTCTAGTTTTACAAAGATGTGACAAAAAGTAGTAACACGTTATAAGAACATAGCAACACACACTACTTATAGATTGATCTGATCTTAGGGTAATAATCAAATTTAGCATTAACGTTTCATATATGAAGCTCTTTACGTAGCAAAACATTATCATTAATTGGTACGTCATTCTCCATATTCAAATCTGCATATTAATAATAATATCGCTAAGGAAAAAAAGTATCGCCATATATATATATATATATTCAGAAACATCAAAATGAAATACCATATACAAAAAAATGTTAATAAGAACATTTATGCATTTTCTTTTTCTCTAAAAAAACATTTATGCATTTTCCAGCTGCACGTTTGCATTTAAAGTTTTAAACTGTTTGACTACACAGTCTACACCACATATAGATCTGTATTCTTCAATTTTTAACATTGTATTTAGGTTATAAGTTCAGTGAATTATACTGTACGATTTGTAAATGATATGAGAGTGTTGAGTATACATGTATCTGCATGGTTGAAATTTTTGTACGTCATGTTTTTCTAATTTTTAACATGGACATATGTTTATGACAACGGTGATATATCCACGCGAGTCGTTCATGTTTTAATTCAGATTTTCACACGTGTGGTTAGGACAACCTCGGCTTTTGTTTGGTTGAGTAAGATGACATGTGGCTCGACCTTTGTAATTACTTTGAATAAAATAAACGATTTATGGGATGACTGAACAATTAGTTTTAAGGAGTTGTTGCTTCAAATTATGTTATCTATGAGACTATAAAACTTGGAAAACATAAATATTACAAAATTTTTAAAATGTTTCAATATAAGAAAATCTTGTGGAAAGTCTATAAATTTTCTAAAATCTTAAAATCCCAATCAAAATCTATAGATTGAGGTAAAGTCAACATAATTAAAAATAATAATAATAAAGTGCGCACATGTATAAACAATAAAATTATTTGTTATTATATTTGCTTTTTTATAATATATAAAACTGCAGAAAAACTATAAAATAAGAATTACAAATAAAAATAATTTGAAAAATTGTTATATATAAGGACATTAAGTCGGACGATCATGAGAGCATCCACATCAATGAATCTCTTTTTGGGATTCAAATTTTCAACTTTTTATTATTATTTTTTTTTATAAAAAAAACAGATCAGTCGTGGGTCACTAAATGTCATGAAATCCGCGCTACAGTGATGAACCGGGTTCACTACATAGAATTTGCAAGAGACGTTCTCACTATTTTTTATTTTAATATTTTTTTTGAAAAATGTGTAAACCTCATCTGAATCTTTGATGGGATGCTCTTAGATAAATAAGCTAAAAATTAAACCAAACATCTTTGATACTGTAGTTTCTTCGTATTTTCCTTAGGTTTTTCAAACGAATTAAATTATTTTGTTTGCGTAAATAAATAATAAATCTAGTAGGATTTTTAATTTGTGGACGGCTAGGTGAAGGCGTGAATATGTAGTCTGTATATAAATAAGTTTATATATTTATTTCCTAGTGCGATAAAAAATACACAGCACGCATGGTCCGGCAGTTAAATCAACGCGTGAGACACAAGCGCTTGTGCAACCAGATACGTTGCGTCTGGAAACACAACACGTAGCAACTCATTTTAAAGAAAAAAAGGAAATACATTTATATTTTTCTTAAAAAGAGGAGCAACGACCTTGCTTCACCGTACGATCTCAATGCACCCCAGTCGTCACTCACAAATGGACGACTCAGATTAGTCCATGACGACCTACTTTCTTTAATTAAGTTTTTGTCGTGACCTAATCTTTCTATTTTATTCATTAGTTACTAATTTCTCACATTTTCCCTTTGCTAAAAGAAAAAACATATTTGTCAACCATAACTAAAACTTATTTATCAACCGAAACGTTTGTACTGATAATTTTTAAAATACTTTTGAATATATTGAAAAAAAAAAGAAAAACTCTGAAAAAAAAGAAACAAAAATAGAGAGAGAGAGAATAAATGGTTTATCACGCTCGTCTCAGCTCTGTGCAAGTCTGCACACACCTACATATATACTCAGATATACATATATATGAGTAGTAACGTTTTTCTCTGTCACTTTTTTCAGACAAATATAAATTATATACAAAAAAGTTTTTTCTGTGGGATTGATAATTGAAACAATCGTGATAGAAGCAGAGATTCACCTTCTCTTTATCTTTCCCTCTCAGACACACAGGAGATTCGGACACAACAACAAAAAGAAAGAAAGCAAAAAAGAAAGTCAAACAAAACGATGGCGTTTCAAGACAATCATCATCTCTCTCAAGACCTCTCCTTCAATCATTTCACCGACCAACAACAACACCACCACCACCAACAACCACCACCTCCTCCTCCTCCCGCTCCTCCGCAACAACAACATTTCCAGGGAACTCCCCCTCCCAACTGGCTCAACACGGCCCTCCTCCGCTCCGACAACAACAACAACAGCAACAACTTCCTCAACCTCCACACATCCACCGCCGCGAGCAGCTCCGATTCTCCCTCCTCCGCCGCCGCCGCCGTCGCGGCTAACCAGTGGCTATCCCGCTCCTCCTCCTTCCTCCAACGCAACAACGCTGGAGCCGAGGCGATGATGGGCGGAGGAGGAGAGATGAAGAGCGGCGGCGGCGGAGAGAGCAAGAACGACGGAGGAGGAGGAGAGGGAGTTGTGAGCTGGGAGAATGCGAGACACAAGGCGGAGATACTCTCTCATCCGTTGTACGAGCAGCTTTTGTCGGCGCACGTGGCGTGTTTGAGAATCGCCACGCCGGTTGATCAGCTTCCGAGGATAGATGCTCAGCTTGCGCAGTCGCAGGACGTCGTCGCGAAGTACTCTGCTTTGGGAGCTGGGCAAGGACTCGTCGGTGATGACAAGGAGCTTGACCAGTTCATGGTATATACTCTTTCTCACTAATTTTTATTTTTTAAAAAATCATATTTGTTTATTTCTTCTTATTCCATGTCTCAAGTGAATGTTCTGTGATTTAAAGATTTGATTTTGTCTGGAATTTCAAACAAGTTTGAGAAGAAAAGAGCTTTTTGATGATAATTTATTAAGGGTGTTTTAAATTTATTATCCTTATTTTAATTGATTTTTCAAAAAAAAAAAATTTTAGTGAATGTATAATTGTTGTGTGATTTTGATCTGTTTCATTTTCATATTTTGTGTGACACAGACGCATTATGTGCTGCTTCTGTGTTCGTTCAAAGAGCAACTTCAACAACACGTGCGTGTTCATGCAATGGAAGCTGTGATGGCATGTTGGGAGATTGAGCAGTCTCTTCAAAGCTTAACCGGTAAGAGAGAGAGACTCTCCTTTATCTCATCATCATTACCATTTGGTTTAGAATTTTTTTTTTTTTTT